AATTTGAAGGCGCCATAGCAACTTTTAATAAAAAGAAAAAAACAAAAAACAAGTGTGATGCCCGGATTGGAAACTATATAACGATGTATAGCCGAGCGGACAGTCGAGTACCTAGCCGAAATAATAGTATATATTCCAGACCAATAGCGGAGTGCAAACGCACAACGCGTCACCACGTTAAACAAAAACTCGACACTATTTCACTGAATCTATGCATATGATTATTATAATTAATCCAAAAACTATCAAATGCAAATGTTAATGTTATGATTCACTTGCGTAATTTTTCCATTTAGCGTATTGTAGATTTTTTTTTTATAGAACGGGGGGCAAACGGGCAGGAGGCTCACCTGATGTTAAGTGACACCGCCGCCCATGGACACTCTCAATGCCAGAGGGCTCGCGAGTGCGTTGCCGGCCTTTTAAGAATTGGTACGCTCTTTTCTTGAAGGACCCTAAGTCGAATTGGTTCGGAAATACTTCAGTGGGCAGCTGATTCCACATAGTGGTGGTGCGCGGCAAAAACTGCCTTGAAAAACGCTCAGTTGTGGAACGGCGGACGTCGAGGCGATACGGGTGGAATTTCGTATTCTGTCTCGACGTCCGATGATGAAACTCAGCTGCAGGTATTAATCCGAACAACTCCTCTGAACACTCTCCATGGTAAATGCGGTAGAAGATGCAGAGTGACCCCACATCTCTACGCAACGCCAAAGGATCAAGCCGCTCGGAGAGGGGATTGGTCGTCGACGATTCGAACCGCTCTGCGTTGTATACGGTCAAGTGGAAGGAGCTGGTACTGGGGAGCCCCGCCCAGAGGTGAGAGCAGTACTCCATGTGGGGCCGAATTTGCGCTTTATATAGTTGCATGTGGTGGCCCGGAGTGAAGTACCGCCTCGCCTTGCTGAGCACACCAAGCTTTTTGGAGGCTAATTTAGCCTTTCCCTCCAAGTGACCGCGAAACTGAACGTCGTTCGATATGTCAACGCCAAGTATTCCAATGCTGGCTGTGGCTTTAAGAAGAGTGTTTTCGAAAAGAGGAGTAGCGACAAAGGGTGTTTTTTTAGCGGAAAACGCGCAAACTTGTGTCTTCTTGGGGTTAAATTGGACTAGGTTTAGTCTGCCCCAGTCTGAGACTCCACGTAATAGAGTTTCGACTTCAGACACAAGTTTGTTCCGGTACTCATCAACAACTGCCCGAGAAATACCTGCCCGGCTAGTGTAAAAAGTATCCCCCGTGCTGTCATCCGCATAGCAATGAATGTTGCTAAGTTGCAACATATCATTGATATGCAAAAGAAATAGGGTTGGGGATAGAACACAGCCTTGTGGGACCCCAGCGTTCACAGGTTTAAGGTCGGAACATGCTCCGTCGATGACGACCTTGATGCTCCGATCGGCCAGAAAGCTGGAGATCCAATCGCATAATTTCTCGGGAAGCCCATAGGCTGGAAGCTTCGAGAGCAGTGCTCTGTGCCACACCCGATCGAAGGCTTTCGCTATGTCCAAACTTACCGCCAGCGCCTCCCCCTTGGACTCAATTGCCTCTGCCCACCTATGGGTAAGGTATACAAGGAGGTCACCAGCTGAGCGACCACGACGAAAGCCGTACTGAGAATCGCTAATCAACTGGTGGCCCTCTAGATACCACAAGAGCTGGCTATTTATAATGGTTTCCATTATTTTGGAGAACAAGGAGGTTATAGCTATTGGGCGATAGTTGGACGGATCAGAGCGATCGCCTTTTTTAGGGATCGGATGTATCGAAGCGGTCTTCCAGCACTTCGGGACAGTGCCGAGCGAGTACAGGTACCGGTAAAGGCGCGTTAAGACCGGAGCCAACTCAGGAGCACAAGTACGCAGCACAATTGGGGGGATACCATCCGGCCCGCTCGACTTATGAATGTCCAAGGAAGATAGTGCTTTGCGGACAGCACGTTGCCGGAATGTGATTTCCGGCATCGAAGAATCACACCGCGAAATGGTCGGTGGTGATCTTCCTTGGTCATCCAAAGTCGAGTTGGACGCGAAGACCACTGCACCAGAGCGCTTTTTATTATGTTGTAAATTTGATTATCCTATTAACACAACAACTTGGAAAAGTCACACACTGCACTTATTTGCCTTGCTTAATTCACCTAAAACAACATACTAGCAATATTAGCAGAATTTCTATTTTTAATTTTATTTTTATACGGGAGCCGATGTGTTCGGTACTCACAAGCATCTAAACATTTCACATTTAACTACCAACACTTGGATAAAGGTCCAGTGCTGGTAACTGAGAAAACAATTAAGCAGCGAAATATGCGCTGGTGACTGAGGCTCTTTTGGATTGATTTGACTTTGATTTATCTATTTGAGTATTTATGTATGAGTGGCACCGGGTTGATTCCATTTAATTTCAGACTAGCGGTGTCTGTAGCATTTCTTTTAAATTATGTATTTTGGAAATGACTTCAGCGTGCGACTCTCATCCCTGAGGTCGTAGGTTCGATCCCCGGCTTTGCACCAATGGTGCACCGCTCGAATGGTGAAGGAAAACATCGTGAGGAAACCGACATGTCAACGGCGTGTGTCAGGCACAGCCCTGTGATTCTGTAACTCACTTTTCAAACTCACACAGCGGTTTTCGCATCGGCGGTCGCTCTCAAATCAGTCGTGAAGCAGTCATTTTATGATTTGGCATTCTGATAAACAATAAACTACAAGCTCCCACCTTTTCATCCGTAATGCCGTATCGCAGGGCTGGAGGCTATCTCCTACTTGCCTATTAGATTTAGAATTGATCATGAAACAGATTAAGAAATCTGAGGCCGTGACCTAAAGAGGTTTTAGCGCCACTGATTTTTTTTTTTAAATTAAGAATACGTTAGAAAAGTTGTCAATCAAGAGTAATAAAGACGTTGTGAGACTTTATTTCCGTGTGATTAAATTACCTACAAATTTTAAATAAAGCCTTGAAAATATATTTTCTATCCGATTTCCTAGCTCATAAATCGTATAAACATGAAGACTCTATAAGTATTATTGTTTCCCGTGGCACGCTTCGATGCAGCATTACTTTGTCAATCGGGGATGTATCTAAACTAAAACTATTAGGATAATATTGTTACGAGCTAGGGGATCGGATAGAAACGCCGTAGATCTCTTCAAGGGTTTTTATTTTCAATTAAATCTACGAGGAATTTGTTACACTAAAAACTGGAAATTACGCACTAAAATTCACTGAATACACACACAAAATACTGTCACTAATTACACGCACTTCACACGTGCTCTGAAACGGCCTGAAAAAATGTTTCAGGCTCCTGAAAACTAGGGTAACATTCTGTAAATTACGATTTTCTTATATGTGATCGACCCTCCCCTGAAACGGTCAGAAATCACATTTCAGCCTGCTGAAAAGTTCTCTAAGTAGTGGAAAAATCTAGAAACATTGTAGTCGACCCGTCTTCGTAACAATATGATAAACCGTTATTTCCGATTGAAACTTTTTTTAAAGTATAAACCTTAATTCTGCTCAGCAAACAGTGAGCTCAAAGAAACGAAGCTCGCTTTATGTAAATATTGAATGCTCTAGTATTTTTAAATTAAAGGATTATTGCATCAGCGGAAATACTGTGCAAATAACGCTATCCTCGTTTACTAAAAAATATTACGGAATGCTTTAAATATCAACTTATCTACATGACTCTACATGGGTCTTAAAGTTAGTGGAGATAATTATATTTTGTTGAGTTACGGGATTATTTCTTCGCGATACACAACACACAACGAGAAAAATTAGGTTAAAATTAGAAAAAAAGGTATTTTTGTGAAAATAACATCGCATACGTAACGCGTAAGTCAATTTTAACTTTACTACACGGAGTATTGTGATTTTAACAATTAGTTTTACAATGAAATATCCACTAATATTCTATAGATAAAACTACAGAACCGATTTGAGAAATTCCAGCGTTCAGTCCCTGTTCAAAGCCGGGACTGAATGCTGGAATTTCTACTATCTTCGCCACATTGGAGTCTCACCATCTAATTTATATGTAAATAAATTGAATATTATTTTTACAAGACGATGTGTGCATACTTGTGGTTTATTATTTCATCGTATTTATCTAGTTCGTGCCTGACTGGTACAAATAAAATACTTTTCAAGAGTAACTCTTTATTTATAAACAAATTGTCTAATCTGCAATTAGATTGCGGGCATTTACTCATTTGTCTCTGTTTATCACAGCCTCATTACAAAATTAATTTTGTTATTGGGAAAAATACACGAAATTGTTTAAAACTGCTTTGTCGAAGGTAATGAAAACATTACCGATAGAATTAACGATAGTATGTGTATGGTAGTTTTGGTTTCGCTTTAACAAATTAAAATGGTCAGATCATCAGACTGTTCTTTGTATGAAATATATTCTTTCTGTTATCTTCTTCTTCAGTCGCACTCTTTATTTTGAAAATTCGTGTTAGTGGCGCCGCACAACTTCCTCCACTCTCCCTTCGGCAAGCCTCTGCGCCTGGGTGATAGTAAGCCCGTAATGGCCTTTATTTGATCGATCCAGCGAGTAGGGGATCAGACTTGAGGTCTGGTGCCCTCCACACTGCAAGTCACGATGACTTTTAAGGCTTTCTGGATGTCTGCGTGTTACATGTCCAAAAAAAATAAAAATTATATTTTCTGTTATATCGAGTTATAATTGTCGATTTACTATAAAAATGTGTTGAATTGCGTTTTTATTATTATATTTTACTTCTATTCCAGCTCTTAAATAATTTATTAACAATATTGCTTATTTCTATTGTTTGATTCGCAAGAAAATTAAATGTATGAAACGATAATTTATTTATTTATGTATTACACGGTGTACGAAGATCATTAAAGACACATTTTTGGAAGTCGATAACGTCCTCCAGATTTTATGAAAACGGTTAAAATAAAACTTTTGAATAAAAATTAAAGCATCTTGAGGAACTGAACAGTGTCAGAATGTAAGATGATTATCCACCAGCACCAGACACTCGCTTGTTTCTATAATCATATTTTTTTTCAGCCTGGTGTTCCAAGCATAAACCTTCCAGACGTATCGGAATACATAACCAAAGTAGAGATCTCACCAATGCCAGAAGATGACGCTACTCCGCTGACAGCTCAACATCAGCTGCAATTGTTGAAGGAGAGGCTCGAACAACAGACACAACGAACCCGAGCAGCTGTCGTGCAACTTATGCTTTTACGCGACCAGCTCGCTGCGGAACAGGCCGCGCGGTGCGAGGCTCAGGTATGTGAAGAAGAAGAAATACGTCGAATATTTTTATTCAGCCTGTAAAGTGAAGCCTAGGGGTTTCATGGACACCCATCCCTGTACTTTCAATGGACTTTCTGTCTATGTGCGCTTTTAACATACGCTCGAACTGTGAGAAAACATCGTAAGGCAACCGGCCTTAGACCCAAAAAAAGGCACAAGAGGCTGATCACCTACTTGGCTGTTAAATTAACAAATGATCATAAAACATATACAGAAATCTGAAGCCAACCCTAAAAAGGTTTTAGCGCCATTGATTTATTTTTATTTTTTTGTAAATTAAAATAAAAATACAACTTTGTTGTTCAGACCTTAGTGGCTTTAAGGCTCACGGGAGTTGGTACTCTGTAACTCCCAATAGCGGTAGCAATTACTATTTTAATATTCTGTTTCTATCCGCGCCATATATTCGTAAGAGGCCACAAAGACCTGGTCGTATATCTAGAATCTACGCTTTCTAAATATACTACATACATGTTTAAACCACTTATAAAATCTTTGCAGGTCCGTACACATCAGCTCCTAGTTCACAATAAGGAACTACTAGAACACATTTCGGCCCTGGTGTCTCATTTGCAGGAACGGGAGAAGGGATCGAGCCGACCAATCAACGCTCAACAACTTACACTTATCCCTCAGGTTAGTGGAAACTTTGATATTAAATAAGGGGCTTAAAACATACACTATAATAATATTAGCCGAGCTAACGCTGTTAGTATCTATTCGCCTGGTATACGAGAGTATTGCGAGTATATAATATATAGGGAAGTCTGATTCTTCAATTATTTTAAACAAAAGAAATAAATATGTTTACAGAACACCACTATTTATTATTATAAATTTGATACAATGAAAATATATGACAGAATGATTTAAACGTCCTATCGCGTCAATGACTCGCAGCGCACTGGTGCGGGGATCCCAATGTGGCTCTGATGCATGTCGTCTGGGGAGCTTGATTTTGCACTCGACGACCGCGATGCGACGATTTAATTTGCAACCATAATAATTTCATGAAATTTGATATATTTGTTTTTAAGTAATTATAATGTTTTAAATATATAAAATGTAAATTTATGTATGTGTGTTATTTGTATTTTTAGTAAAATATAAATATAGTTATTATATATATTTGATACAATTAAATAATATATGTATATAATAAAAATAATAATATAAAATAAAATATGAAATACATGCTTCAATGTCATTAAGCGTGTGGGCAGCAGTACTCTCTATCCCATAGCTCTAATACTCCATTGTCCTCCATTCCGTCATGTAAAGGACTAAAAAAATTTGCACAGAATACAATAGCTACTAATTTTTGACAATTGCGTTCATATTTTTTTTATAGAACGGGGGGCAAACGGGGAGGAGCCGATGTTAAGTGATACCAGTAGTATGGATTTCCGGCGACTGCCTCAAGTCAAAGTTGCTCAAAAACCTAAAAATCATGGTTGACTAATAAAAAAAAAAAGTTTGTACTCTACCCCCACTAAACAGGCCGTGTGGAGTCGGATGCACTCATTCCTGAAGTGATAGCTCTAACCGTTCCAGAGATAGCTTTCCTAAAACCCTTGCTTACTAATTACTTACTAATCACCACCTTATCAGCTACTATTTCCTGCACGAAATTCCCACTCATTATCTAATTACTTACTGACTCAGTACGAATGCATCGTTATCTACTTTCCTACATTCACCAACCCGATCTATAAGCTCTAAAAGAAAAATAGAAAAAACTATATCTAACCTACATTAACACCATTATCTATAATAAAATTAGATGTAAGGGTTGCATATTTAAATAAAACATTTTTATTCCAGGTATTATTCTTTTATTTATATGTCCATTATATTTCTATACAAATTTACTAGCACCGTATCATTGTTCTCTGAGTCACATGTAAAATTTCTAAGGAAGTCTTCTAATCTCATCCCCCCTGAACTTGTAATATACGTATACCAAACAGTACTCTCCGCACACCGCCGATAGATAATCCTGAACCGTAAGGCTATTGTACCTCCACATGCAACAATTCCTCCTTAAAAATCCTTCTATTGCTTCAATAGGTTTACGTCCAAACGAATCAAAGTATTCCCCAACTCTTTCGACGTTTATATGAATAGCCACCCAATGAGACCCCGGCTGTGAATCAGGGTCAAGATTGCATATTATGATAAGTGCTGGCACCTGAGCATACATCGGCAATCGATTTGAAGGATATACGTTGCTCTGAAGGCTGGGATGTATTCTACGAAGACTCATTTGAACTTCTAGTGTGTTCATACTTTAATACGCGTTTACTCCCCTACTCTTTCACTCTTTTACTGACTAAATTTATTACTATCAATTCATATTTGTACCAATGTACTTAAACTCACATCATATTATGATCTCAACATAAGTAATGAGTCTTTTTGTAAAAAAAGTAATGAAGGTAAATAAAAACCATGTCATATTCGTTTACATTATATTTTATTATTCTTAATATCATAATAATTACATAAGTGATTGCTTAACTACTATAATCCACACATACATTTCTGTTCTTATCTATTTCTATAATATTTGAAAACTCTGCGTAAACTACACAGTTAATTGTTTCAGTCAATGCGCTCTCGAACCTTACTTCCATTCTTACACTACCATGGCGAACAAGATTCCAATGCACATTTGAGTTAGCCGACAAGTCAGGTGTTAAATCAAAAGCTAGTAAACAGAATCCATTTGAATATTGCTCCCTCGATATTCCATTACCTTCGTTAAGAAAATGTATACCGGTGCCTGAGTACAGGATGCGCTAGTAAATACATCGTTTGGAAATGATGGTTGTAACGATTTTGAAGGTATCTGTTGACCATCTATATACAGGCTAAATGAGCAAATACCAAATGCCAAAATTTTCAAAGTTGAAAGGATTTTTAACATAACTACCGTTGAATGCTGTATTATTAACAAAACCTATAATACATCTCTTAGGAACCTGTCTTTAAATATACTTCAAAAAGTAATGAAGGTAAATAAAAACCTGACACGGTTATCGTTTATATTGTCATATTCGTATATTTTTTTTTTGTTCTTAATATTATAATAATTATAGGTAAATGTGGTTGCTTAACTACTACAACATATACATACATTTCTGTTCTTATCTATTTCAAAAATATTTTAAAAATGCAATGACTATTAAGATTGCAAAGGGTATTTAGAGTGCTTTTTGTATTTATTATCCACATTTTACTGATAGGTATGGATACTTGTTCAAACATGCATGCAGAGTTAAGTATCGTAACTAGATAATGATATCCGTTACCAGTCTATATAACCCGATACTTGTAGAAAGATTTAGTATTGTGTTCTAAGTTCGACAAAATTGAAGTGGTTGAAAGTTTGAAATAATATACAGCAATGGAGGTAAGTTATTTACATAGTGTACAATGTGTTACCCATATGATTAAATGATTTTAAATTTAGAATTTTTAATTTTTAAATTTAGAATTTGAATTTTTATATTTTTCATATTTGGTTTCAGTAATTTCTTTAATAATTCCTATTTATTTTTTGAAACGCATTTTGATTTGTTTATGTCATATTTCAGTCTTCATACAACCTGAAAGATGTGGAAAAATGTTTCAGACCATATAATTATTATGATGTATCTGATGAAGAAGAGGTTTTAAACATAACAGAAAATAAAAATAAGAAGATCAATCATTTAGATGACTTTTTTCTTCAAGAACCTGACCGTAAGAAGAAAAAAACTAAACTTTCTTCAAGTGTTGGCCGTGCCGGGAATGAGGGAAGCATTTCATATATATCGACAGATAAAGATGATGGAATGGACGCCGACATACTTGTGAAAATGGAATTATATAGTTTAAAAAAGTTGAAAGAAATCCCAGTATCACAACATTGGAAAAATGCAGATATTCGTGTTAAATATTACATGAAAAACGATTCCAACATTGATGTTCAGAGTAAGGATATTGTATATAACATAACAAAGGTCCTTTGGCGTTGCGTAGAGATGTGGGGTCACTCTGCATCTTCTACCGCATTTACCATGGAGAGTGTTCAGAGGAGTTGTTCGGATTAATACCTGCAGCTGAATTTCATCATCGGACGTCGAGACAGAATACGAAATTCCACCCGTATCACCTCGACGTCCGCCGTTCCACAACTGAGCGTTTTTCAAGGCAGTTTCTGCCGCGCACCACCACTATGTGGAACCAGCTGCCCACTGAAGTATTTCCGAACCATTTCGACTTAGGGTCCTTCAAGAAAAGAGCGTACCAATTCTTAAAAGGCCGGCAACGCACTCGCGAGCCCTCTGGCATTGTGAGTGTCCATGGGCGGCGGTATCACTTATCATCAGGTGAGCCAAAAAAAAAAAAAGGGGATATCCGAGGAAGATAGTGTAAAACGTTACACTTTTAAAAATTAGTTTCATTTAGTTTCTTCATGCTTCAGATTTTAATACCGTATGTTTATATAATTAAGTAATCTTTCAGTTTTCTACTAGTATAAATACTAAGTTGCATTGTACAAAGGCAATCATTGTGCTTTTTGTTGAAGACCTTTGCGCATTAAGGTTAAAAGTGTGAGACAAAAAACAGTTGTGAAACGAATACATATATACAATGTCTCAAGAATGTGTTAGTGTTTTTTTTGATGAAATGGATCATGAATTTAAAAGCTTATCCATTGATACAATCGAACTTTTCAATGTTTGTTATGAAATAGAAAGAAATGATTTAAATCACCCATTTTATGATCAAAGAATGATGGTGCTATGTGATGAATTCGAAGGGAAACTGTGAGTATATTTATTAATCATATTTTATATATATTTTGTTTTTTGATTTCTCTATTCGCATTTCTAACAGTAAAATATAATAAAATTTTATTCGATAGGGTTGATCAAATGGGTTGTGGAACCAAAAGGAAAGCAGATGTTGACATTAACTCTGCTGACATCAAAAGAATAAAATCTGGATCGAACATGGATCTTTCACGGTCTTCACAAGAGCAATCAACATCGAATGAAGGTAATAATTTTAACACGAAATGTTGCTGTATTTGTAATAGAAATGTTTCCAAAAAATATTTCGCTAATCATCTAAGGAGCAATGCACATAAAAATAATGTAAATAAAATACAACATTCAATAAAACCCAATGTTAAGATAATTGAGACTGCGTTCGGTAATAGAATAATAACCTATAGAGTAACTTCAGAAAATCAAAATGATTTACAGTTTGAGACACCAGATTTATTTCTTGCATCAGGCAAAGATACAATAATAAATAAATCTATAGAAGATCACCAGTTTTTAAAAATAAATTTCATTTTATATGGTGACTTTGTTCAGGAGACAAAAAACATTAACAACACTTTTGATTTCCAATCAATGAATTTTATTGTTTGTATTGGTGATGATTTAAATATATTTTATACAACTCTCACGAAATCTCTAATAAACTATATAAATTCATTCGAGAGAAAGGATAGTGGGTGGAGTCTGAAAATTTTTTTACATTTGGATATGAATTTAAATCAATTTAACCCTTTAAGATTAAAATCCTTTATTGAGTTACCACACGATATAAAAATAAAAAAAGCTGTGATAAATGTTAAAAACACTGATGATGCCTGTTTTAAG